AGGGGTGCATTACAAAACTTATACATATATATGAAAATACCATAGTAAATATATTAAGTTATATGCTAACCTAAAACACTAATGAAAGCTTATTTATATACATTTCATAATTCAAAATTTTTATAGATTAAATAAACTACTAGTTCTACAGTGGTAAATAACACAGAAGGACACATTCAATGTATCTGTCCAAAGAGGGTTATTTTGAGAAACAGTCTATTGTTTACTTTTCACGTTTTTAGAGAGGATATTATCCCATAAAGCTTATGGATATGTGCAGGCTTGCCTTGGTGCCACTAGAATGGCATCTGCAGTGTGAAATTCTCAAGCCTTGGAAACAGCACTATTTTATAAATCTTATTCTCTGAGCTTCTTATTCTATACAATACCGATTTCTGCATGAACACAGAGATAGTTCAGAGAGCAAAGAAAAAAGATCTCCATATTTGGGATGTCAGCCAGTGGCAAATTCAGTGGCAGAATGACACAGGCTGCTGAGGCTGTTGATGATTGACTAGGCTCATTGTTCTAAAGCACGTGGAGACTGCTTCCAGTAATACCTTTGGATTCAATGGGGCACTATTCCACATCTGATTTTACTCACAGCCTGGGCTTCCGAGCAGCTTGAACATTAGCAGCCAATTGAACTGCTGAAAAAAATTACTAAGGTATTTCATGCTTCTGTCATTAAGCAGAACAACTAAAGATGGAAGAAATGTACACTGTAAGCAGCCAGTGCTTAAATATGAACAAAGGGGGCTGGAAAGATGAAAACAGGATCAGCTTTCACTCCTCTCAGTGAAGGTGTTAGGGGCAGGCCTTTGGGAGTAGAACCTGAGGCAAGCCTCTCAATGCAAGTATGAGGAAACACTAAAGCCAAACAGAAGATCTTATTGTCCTGCTTTCATTTCTGTTAGGAAATGGACCACTGCTCCTGTTGTCCACACCTGAGCGGATCTGGCACATTCCAAAGTAGGAATGACTAACACACAAGGCTATCTCTACAAGCTGGGTGGAGACAGAGCAGGGAAATTAGGTACAATTCTTTGAAACCTTTCCGTCTAGCTCTGTAAAATGACAGGCTATTTATAATATTTTATTTCCAAGTAGACACAAAAGCATATGCCTGTGCTACTAAGAAACCTGCAATTAAAACTCTTTGAGATCTGATTATGTTATTGACCTGGGTTTCCGACAGTGTAGATAACTGAGAGGTGCTTGCGAACTGTGGCGATGGCCGGAGGGGCCACACTACCGCATGGTGAAATTACTTCACCGTTTGGTCCCACACGATACGGTGTAACTTCTTAATGTATTTCCCACATTGTTCTTTTTGCCCATTGCATATTGGTTCTTCAACTTGCGTAAAAAGAAAGAAACAAATTCAATTGAATTCTAGTGAGCAAAAAATCGTGATGTAAATCCTAGCAGCTGTTTGAACCATTGCTTCCTATTTTGCACAATCATATCTCAGTGTCTTCTACCTAAAATACACCTTAAAACATCTCTTCAGTTTCATTACTATTGCAAAAATAGCCATGGAAAAGTCACGGTCAGTATGCCACTATTTTTAACTATGAACTATATCCCCAAACTATCATAACTCAATAATTTGAACGTGGTAGCATTTCGTCTTTGAGATTCTCAATTCTAGGGATTTAATGTGAGAATAAAGCTAAGATGGATTTAGTTGTTATAATGGAAGCTCATCTGTTAACAACCCACTAACAATTGCAAGGAGCCATTAAATGTGGAAATGAAAATTGCTAATATTTTTCATGGGTGTTTTCAAAGTGTTGTATTTACTCTCTGACACTGTACAGTAACCACAAGCCAAGGCCAGAGAAAAGTGATCTCCCTTGGGCTGTCTGCAGTCTGTACTCTGACTTCCTCCTCTTGGCCCAGTTTACTCCAGACATTTCAACAGCTTGACTAAGCCTCATCACCATTTAGCTGCCAAGCTTAGTGGCTGCCAGTCTCGCTAGTAGCTTTTTAAGTACAGCTGTTACCAGTGCTATGTTTGAATCAAGAAGACTAGACCTTTCTGGTTTACCCCAGTGGCCAGGTTCTCTCTCAAAGGAGAATTATTTTTAATATTACTTCATCATTCTTCTTCATGGAAACATTTTTTTTCCTTCTAAGTTCTTTCCTTATGGAGAAATTACATTTATACTGAAACTGGTATGCAACATCTGTTTTGGGTTAGTTTATGAAGAGATGGTTTTAGGAATAAATATTGCTGATAATTTTTTTTCTTGAATGGGGCCAGCATCTATCTATCTATCTATCTATCTATCTATCTATCTATCTATCTACCTACCTACCTATCCACACACACATTTGTATACACACGTATGTGAAGACTTGGTTATGAACTGAACGGTTTTAAGTATGATATCCAGATACCAATTATAACCAAGTGAATCTGATATGTAATATATGTGCTGCATGCTAATTATTCATAAACACTGGGTTGTTCATACAAAGGACTATAATTAATGCAGATCCTGGAGCTAAAGCAGCATTTTGGGAGCAAGTTCAGAGGGGAGATGAATGGAAAAGCAGTTAAAGCTGCTCCTGCTCTAAGTGGCCTGGCCCAGAAGGGCCTTCTTGGGCAGGCTTCTCTGCTTTTCCATTAGCATTTGCTCCAGGCCAGGAGGCTGGCTGCTGGCAGCTGGGAATAGCCATGCCTACTCACAACAAAGGTGATATAAATTTAGAAAGAAAAAGTACAGTGTCTTCTGTTTTGACCTTCTTCTAGTCTTTAAAAGCGCTGTGCACCAAACTACAGATGAATATCTGTAGCCATGAAGCCTTCTTCACAAGTGGAAAAAATAGGACATATTAGATTATTTCAGTACTTTGGATATCATATAACAACAGGATTTTTCCTAGATAAAGGTTGTGGCCATCAAGGATGTGTGAGCTAACTTTTGCCCAATTTAACCAAAACTCAGGGTTCATTATGTTTAGTGGTTGCTTATCAGTGGACTATTTAGTATGTAGATAAATTGGTATCATGCTTAAACTGGGCTATTGTACAAGATACCTATCAATCCACAATTTCTAAAATGGGAATACTGAAGAGAGTAAGAACAAACTCTCACCCATGCATCAGGTTAAACTTTACCTTGAAGGTGTCTATTATTGTTTTTGTAAGCTATGCCTGTGCACGGCAACTCAAATGTCATTGTCCCTATGACTGATTTTGTGTGACCTGACCATATGATATGGTTCAAATACCAGCTTGCTGGTTTCATCTTGTCTTCCTCTCAAACACCACATTCACTACACCAGCAAACCTTGTTGGTTCTTGCATGGAAATATGTCTGAAGTTTGTCTGTTTTTGCTACTTGTATTGCTGGTGCCCTGGTCTAAGCCTGATGTGTATATTTTACAGAGACCATTGCTATCTTTTTTTCAACGTCTAGTTGCTCTGGACAGTCTATTCCCACAAGATTGTATTCTCTCAGCTTACTCCTGACATGGCTTTCCATTTTATTCAGGATAAAATAGAAGTTCTACATCGCTCCCTTTTCTGGTACCTCACCCCCTCTTATGTCATCAGCCATTCCCCCTTGCTCTCTGAATTCTAGCTGCATTGACTTCCTGGTTGCTTCTTCAACATGGCAAACCCATGGTTACACAGGGTAACTTTGCATTTCCTGTGTAAAACATTCTACCTCCTGATAGTCACATGATTTTTTCCCTCACTTCTTCAGACCTCTGCTCAAATGCCTAGTGGCCTTCTCAGATAAACATATTATAGGAACACTCCCACTCCCCAGCTTTATTTCTCTGTGACTTGCCCTCGGATATAAAAGGCATCAGGTAATCTGGACTTTCTCACTGAAGTTAGATTTTATGAAAGCAGGCCTTTGCATGCGGTTCCTCACCGAGCCCTCATCTTAGAACGCTACCTACCTGCCACATCTGCGTGTTTAAGTGCTTGCACCAAGGTCTCCTCTTGAAACTTAATTCTCTTTCTAAAATTGAAGTTTGTAAGTTTATTTTGTAATTATCTTTCACACATGCGTACTCATATCTGTGTGCCACACTGCAGTGTGGACGTCAGAAAACAGCTTGTGGGGAGTTCTCTCCTCTCATAAAGGGAACCAAACTCAGGTCATCAGGATTGGAAGCAAGTGCTTTTACCCTCTCAGCCATCTCGTTAGGCCCAAATGTTCTAAATCCTAATTCCATCGTTTAAGCATATTTGAGCTACAATCCCGTTATTTTTGGCTCCTAGTTCCCGTGGCAGGGGAATGAAACCAGAAAAACCTAGTGCTACAGAAGGTCTGGACCCTCTGCTCAAGCACACTGCTGTATCTCATCGACTCTACTTCTAAAGAGAGGCGTTAAAGCCATCCTTCCGAGAAAGACATTGATAACTTGAAGTTAAATGACTGTCCACTGAAAGGAGATCAGAATCCAGGTATGACAGACTCTACACCACCTCCCAGCTGTCTGCCCCAGCAGTTCAAGTCTGGTTAGTGCAACAGTAGGAATCAAAACATTGCTTTTTATTTTTATTTTTTTTTTTAACAGCTCCATGTCCTAGGGAGAGAACCATATTGCAAACATGTGACGTGTAAAATTATTTATGTAATGTAATATTTTTGTAATGCGACTTTATAAGTATGCCCGCATCTCCAAGATCCTGCATACCGCACCTCGTAGCTCAACTTTCGCAAACGTCCTGAAAGGCATTCCCAATGCGGGGACCCTAAAGTCACGACGTGCCTAACCGGACTCCGGGAAAACTCTCGGTTCCCTGCACGGACAAGGTGTAGAGGCAGCTTGAAGCACTTGGTAGAAGAGAGTGGGATCGAAACTCGGCGATCGGGGGCAGCGGCCGACCGCCGTGGGCGAGGGACACCCCAGTTCTCGGGAAAGTGGCGGCGTGGGCTCGCGAGCTGGGTGCGGGCGCGGGGAGGGGCCTGCGGCGGCCCGCCCTCTCCTCGGGGATGCCGGGATGTTTACCCTCCTGACAGCCGCGGCCGCGGGAGGAGGAGCGGAGCCGGGAGGATGGGCCGCCGCTAGGCTCGCAGTGGGAAGCGCCGGCCGAGCGGGGTGGGAGCCGGCGCGGGCACAGGCGAACGGCCCGGGATCCCGCAGCCCGCAGCCCGCGTGCGCCGAGCTGCTCCGGCGTCCCGGTGAGTCTGCACGGCCCGGCCGGGTGGGGCCGGTGCGGGGAGCGGGCGGGCCGCGTGGGGCCTGGGGCTCGCGTGCCTCCGAGGTCGGGCCGGGCCGCTCGCCGCTGGCGGAGGGCGGTGCAGGCCCCAGGCTGCGGGAGCTCGGCGCCCGCGGCGCCCGGACCCCGGGGAAGCTCCCCCGAGGTGGCGGCGGCGGCAACAGGTCTCCGGGCTGGGACAGGAGGAACTCCCGCGAAGACCCGCCTCCGGGCCTAGCTCATTGGCCACGGTGGCTATTTACCGCTCGCGGATTGGCTCCACCGGTTCGGCTGCAGCTCAGTTTAGAAAAGTGAAGTTCACAGACCCCGGGAGTCCTGAGTGCAGGGGTAGCCGGGTCTGTAACGGACCGACCCCGATCGAGGCCTGGTTTGCAGCAGAGTATGAGCTGAGTCACAAACGGGGCCAGCGTGGAGTTAGAGAGGCAGTGGGGGTTGCTGCTGAGCAATGCCAGCCGCCTCCGTCTGGTGCTGGAGACCCTCAGAGGATGCGTTTATTGTCGCTCGCACTGAGCTCCTGTAGCCTAGGTCTTTGCCCGGGCTAAATACTAGGAATATATTTACTTTAGAGCAAGATTTTGTGCCCTTTACAATTCTGGTGATGGAGCTGAACATAGATAAAACAGTATAGAGATGGAATTACTTTTTTTTTTTTCTCTTTGAGATTACTACTCCTAAAGGTTGTTATTAAAAGCAACCAGATACCCGTAGTTTTTAGAGCATTATTGGGACCACCCTTTAGTTTCTCCTCCAAGGAATCTGCAGTTCTCAGGAGGCACGTTGTCTACAGCCGCTCATGACCGTGTGCTTGGTAGGGCGAATTACAGCATAACATTCAGAATATATATATATTATAAATCTCCTCCCTTTGGACGATAGGATGTTAATGTGGTCCAAGAGGGGCTGAGTACCCACGCTCAAAAATGGATAGTGTCTTTGGGACAACCGGGCAAATTCTGAAAACGCTGAGTAAGAAATACAGCCTGCATTGCTTCGTGGCATTTCTTGCTGGGATTCATGGCTGCACTACTTCGTGACGCCCAGTGCACTTGATTCAGCTGGCTTGCAACCTAAGCAGCTGTTTCATCTTCACAGCCCTCGGCTCCACTCCGCGGGATCAGGTCCTTAATCTGTTTTACATCCCAAACTGTTACATCCTCTGCTTTGGCCTTGGGGGGGATGTTGGACGTTTGGAAAAACTTTGCTTCTTAGAGGGGCAGGAAGGTGGATGCTGAGAGGAGGGCTCGCAGAGAAGGAGAAGGAACCCTGGGGCGGAGTGGAAGGGGAATCTGGACCCTGTGACCATGCAGTCCTCCGATTCCGCTCGAAGGTGGGCGTCCCCGCCCTTCGGGGCACTGACAGCCACCGCGGCCAATGAACGGCGAGGACACCGGCCCCCGGCTCCGGAGGGCGGCTACTTCCTACCGCTGCCTTGCGCTGGGAGAGCCAGGCCAAGTTTCTCCGAGGATGTGGGCCTGTGGAAAGCAGGGCTGAGGCGCAGCCCTGTGAAATCAGTGCGTAAAAATAGAGGCAGGGGGCTCTGGTTTCCTCTGCGCCCTTTGTTACCTTTCGAGATTCCGGCTCAGCTTGAAGTCACCGCTTCCACAGGAGCCACAGTAGATAAGAAACGAACCTGGTCAGCAGATTAAATATAGTCTGTGACTGACTGGGACTTTACCGCGAGATCATCTGAAACTGAAAACCAAGAACTGCCCGAAGAAAACTCGTTAGAAACACTTATGGCAGTTTGGCCATCTTAATACGGTTAAGACAATCATCGGTTTTAAAAAGTCAGGACCTCATTTTCAGACAAACAGACCTGTTTTGTAATCTGAACTACTAAAGTTTATTTATCTGGATGATACCTGTCTCATGCCATTCCTTTCCCACAAATGCTTTCTTGGCTGGACACTTGGACAGTTTCTCCCCAGCCTAGTAAAACGAGAAAACACCCCCGGTACGGTGGCCCCACGCTAGCGGAGGAGAGCCGAGGTCGCATCGCTGGCATGCCCTTCCACACTAGATTAAAAACCAGCATCGCAGCGTCCTGCAAGCCGAGGGGCAGAGCAGTGACACTCTGTTAAGATCCATATTGTCAGGACTCGCCTCTCACATCCAGGCTTCTGGTGATTGCAGTCGGTGCCTCTAGGCCCTGGCTTACCACAAAGGAAGCCTTCAGCACTTACTGAAAAATGCCAGTGATTTAAAAGAAATAGACTTTGTTAGTATAAGAATGCTCAGGGTATCCGTTCCCAGTTTCACCTGTTTCTTTTCAAATATTTGATTAGTGCGTAGGCAGATATTTTACTTAGTAAGCGAAACTACAGAATGGGAGCAAACTTGCTATAGTTCTGAAGGTGTGTGAGTGGCGGATGGTTACTGTCTCCTTCCTCCCTCCCTCCCTCCCTTCCTCCTTCCTTCCTTTCTCTCTGTCTCTTTTTGTTTTGTTTCGAGACAGGGTTTCTCTGTGTAGCCTTGGCTGTCCTGGACTCACTTTTAGGCCAGGCTAGCCTGGAACTCACAGAGATCCGCCTGCCTCTACCTCCCCAAGTGCACCAAGATGACCGGCTGGATGGTTACTCTTTACTTTGAATTACTTTGTTTGCATTTCTACTAATATAGCAACATTTCTTTTAGCAGCATTGTAAAATATTCTTTTAAAGTTCCAATTTATTTTTTCCTCTTGCGATTTTATTTCATTGAGAGGGTAGGTGAAATAACATTTGGTTATATAGTTATATCCAAGCATGTGCATTTGTGAAATATAATGACAGTTCAGAATTTATTTATTTATTTTTTGTTGTTGTTGTTGTTCTTGACATAGGGTCTCACTTTGGAGCCTATGCTGGCCTGGAACTTACTATGTATTCAGCCCAGGCTGCCTTCAAAATCATGGAATACTCCTGCCTCAGCTTCCCAAGGGCTGTGATTATAGGCATGAGTTAATATTCTTAGTTAGAATCTTTAATGTTATACAACTGTGAGCTGTAAAACTTCTACTGATTTGTAATTTGCCATTTGATAGTTTGATTATCCCTATGATGTTACCTACGTCTCAAAATATTTTTTCCTTCTAAAGAAAATAACTTATAGTTGATTTTGTGTGTGCGCGCCACACAGTGGGAATGAGGACGGATGCTAAGAAACATTCTGGTTTTTTTTTTTTTTTTTTTTTTGAGCATAAATGATTTTTCAGCCTTTATTAAAAAAAATACTTTGTCATATTGTGTATATGATGACCTAATAGGATGAGTTGTGCTAAAGTTAATAGCTAGCCACAATATTATGCAGACAGCGTACACATGAGAAAACCTTGCTGGTCTATGAAAATGTACAGGTGTGTGCTTTCTGTGACGTAGTGGAGGTGGTCATTTTTGTGTGTTGCCACAGCTCTTGTGTGGGCAGTAGTTAAGGGCTACTTTTAAGCTCCAGTCTGCCTTTTATACAGATAGGTTCACAAACTCTAAAAAATCTCATAATAAGTATTTTTGGCTTTGTGGGCTGTATTATCTGCTGGAGCTCCTGCTTCTACAGCCACAAACAATCCCCACACATGTGGCTGTAGCTGTGCTCCAATAAAACTTTACTTATATAGAAAAGAACATCAAAGCCCCACACACGAATTCTAAGACATTGAGATCCCAACAACAGTACACTGTCAAGTTTTTATTTTCAGAAATTGTGTATAATGTCTACTGTGCAGTCCCAAATTTTGCTTATTGGTGTTCCTAAACCTGCAGGTCACTTAGGTTGGTGTCCTGCTGTGAAGGATAGGGGCATAAAAGTATTTACTTATTAGGACAGATGTAGAAAAGATTTACTAGAGAAAATAATCTGCGAAAAGAAGGGGGCTAATTCTCAGAATAGCCTAGAGAGGGAATGGAGTTCTGTCTCTACGGTTGGCTTTAGACACCCTCTGCCCTTGGGGGCCCCCAGACCCATCCTGAGATGATGAAGGCATGTGTGCGTGTGCGCTGTCTCCTGCTTCCTCAGGAGACTACGGTAGAATCTGATGCCAGTCATTTACCTGCTTTTAAACTAGTGATACTCCTAAGAGGAGTGGATCTTGCTATGTTTCATTCGTTAGTTTTTATTTTAGCTTACTGACATGGCTGTCACCATTACAGAAAAATTTGGGCATGTGTGAGTTAGTGAGCCTTTAATTTTTACTTGCTTATTTGTTTTTATTTCTTTTTTAAAGATGTGGAAAACTGAGAATGGTTCCACACGTCTGTAATCCTAGACAGGGTAAGCTGAGGGGGAGTATTGGAAGTTCCAGTGCAGGTTGGATTACGTAATATCTCAAACAACAACTGCATCCAATGCAACAGACTCACCCCCCCAAAACAAGACAAGACAAGACAAGACAAGACAAGACAAGACAAGACAAGACAAAACAAACCAAAAAACAGAAAAAAAAAAGTGGACTTAGTCTTCTAGTTAAAAAAAGAAAACAGTAAATAACTGGAAAGGGCCTGTTGTCAAGGAATGTGTGGCCACGGGAGAAATAGGGCCTCCTTTTAGTCTAAGAATGAATTTTGGGCTGGCTGGGGTGCTTCCTGAGAAGCAGTGGAATGCGATGGAAAATGAAACACCTTGCAAATCACACAGTAGAATTTGTTCGCCCTGGCCAGGAGTGGCCCTTGGTTGTATGGGAATTTTGACTCTGCAAGTCCTCAGGAAGGCCAGGAGGAAACAATGGGCATTTCAGAGCTCGTGGCCAGTTGCCTTCAGCTTCAGGTAGCATCTTCTGACCCTTCTACATGTGAAATTTTTTTTTTCTTGGTGTGTTTAAAAACAGCGATGTGGAAAAGCCCAGGCACAATGCCCTAGGTTTGTTTCCCTTTTTTACCACCCTTGTTGAGTAGTTTTAGTTTTTTTCAGACTCTTGTTTCCGGCTCACACCAGTGTGCTTTGAATAGTAAACGAAAACATCTTTGTAAGTGTAGAACCATGGGTTCGGTT